TTGTATTTCAAGTATTGCATTGCATACTCGTATGGGTACTTTGTATTTCAAGTATTGCATTGCATACTCGTATGCTACTACTGGTACTTTGTATTTCAAGTATTGCATTGCATACTCGTATGCTACTACTGGTACTTTGTATTTCAAGTATTGCATTGCATACTGTCTTGTACTCTGGTCACGCACTCTGCTGCGTATTTACAAATGTACTGGAGTATGCTGATTTTGAGTACAAGCGAGTACAACCAAAAGCATGTGCTTGTACACTGCGGAACAGGTCCTGAGTTCTATCTGCAGAACTATGTGTGTATGCAAACCGTTTATTTTTTTCCTCTTCCATTGAAACAGTTAATGCTTGTATTCCTTGCAGGACTTCATTATCACACGACTGTAAAGTGTATACTGCAGATGCCATGGTCATCAGTTGTATTGCATATCACCAGCCATGTACATGGACATGTGTTGTAGAGCTGCACTGTGTTCACACTATTCATGGCCGAGTCTGTCTCAGCTGTCCAATATCAAGACGAAAAGTGGGAAAATCTTCCGATTTCAGATGTAAAAAACGATAAAAACACAGTTTTTCGAAGAAAATACACAGTTACCATGGCAACCAGGCATAAAAACCACGGTTGCCATGGTAACCATGCTCTATTTCAGCCCATTTTCCAGGCTTACAGCGGTTGCCATGGCAACCAGGATTTCGTTGCGAATTAGGTTTTGTTTCCATGGTAACCCATAAATTTACTCTGATAAACCTGGTTGTTTTTGCCTAAAACGATCCGATTCTGCAAAACCCTGGAATTTTTTTACCTGCGTAATTTTTTTATGCAGAATGACCCAACCAAATGCACAGTGCACAGTATTGATTTTAGTTTTATAAAGCGAAGTTTAATTGTAATGGCAAGAGTGTGGAAAGAAGAGAGGAGAGGACAACCAAGATAAAAGTAATGAGAAGCAAGAAATAAAAGGATTTAAAAAAAAAGAGATAAACCTGTACATCTAAGGGGGAAACAGTGAGTTGTGGAAATCCAGCATGTTAAAGATACAAAACGGAAGGACTCAATTGAAGTTGAAACAAAACAAAAAAAAAACAGAAAAGTAAACTAATTATCTCTAAGAAAATACACGTAGAAAACAATAACTTGAAATGAATATGGAAGACTGAAAAGTTGACAAGTCCACATGTAAATAGTTATCAGGATACAAGAATTGTAAAGGAGCAAGATCACAAAATCAGTGTTGATCTCAATACAGTAGAACTTACTTAAACTGCTTTACTATGCACTCAGCCTAATGCAGTACATTGTGAACACATGCGCAAAACCATTCTGTTTGCTAGGACGGCAACAGGACCAGGGAATTCTAGAGCATAGCAAAGTATCTAAAAATCTTATGCTCTGAAAACCGACTGTTCCGTGTACTTGCACAATGTGAATGGGGTGACTGTTCCGTGTACTTGCACAATGTGAATGGGGTGACTGCGCCGTGTACTTGCACAATGTGAATGGGGTGACTGTGCCGTGTACTTGCACAATGGGGTGACTGCGCCGTGTACTTGCACAATGTGAATGGGGTGACTGTGCCGTGTACTTGCACAATGTGAATGGGGTGACTGCGCCGTGTACTTGCACAATGTGAATGGGGTGACTGCGCCGTGTACTTGCATAATGTGAATGGGGTGACTGCGCCGTGTACTTGCACAATGTGAATGGGGGGGGGGGGGATAGCAATATACGTACGAATATAGAGGATCATAAAGCAACGGCATGATATCACAAAACAACGGTGGGTTATCGGTGAGTCGAAATGGTTCATTTACGCTGCAAGTACTACTTCCACTATAAGTATAATTCCATAACTTTTTGTCTCTATTCAGAGTCAAATTTCGGTTGAACCATGCAGGAGAGGCAGGCCAAACGGCCAATATGTTTCTTTTCTCTGGAATTCACTACTAGCTAAATTGAGTGTGTAATGAATTGAGTGTGTACTCTACTGTTGACGGTGGTCTCAATAGACAACTTTCCAATTCAATGCCATGACAAACTGCTCCAGTACAGTGTAGTAACGTCGGTAAGTTCACCTTGGTGTGAGCGGGATGCTTGCACCCGATTCACTAAGCTGACTACATGTAACTTGATATGCATATCAATATTCTTTAAAGCTGGCCCGCTTATCCTGTGAGGCATGGATGTACACTCCGGCAGACAAGGAAAAGTGTCTTTATTTCCAATATGTCACTATTCAACCCAGGTCTTGGACTAGAAACAAGGAGCCGTGGGCAAACATTTCCATCGTTAATATTGATGATCTGTCTTTGTTGCATATAATGGCTGCATTGTCATGTACATGGCTATTGACATACTATAGCACAGGCACACTCGCCTTGTTTTCTGATGGCCAGGTCTGGTGGCCAGGTCTGATGGCAATAGCAGTCACATACATGGCACTACATTCTTGGTTAACTTTCATGTCTTGGTTCACTCATGTGTCTTGCATGCCGGTACAGTGTGTTATAACAACATGATGTTTTCCTCCTCATCCGGCCTGGCTGACAAAGTGAATTCTTTCTTGTGTCTCAGAGTTAGTTTGTACCGACTTGAGTAAAACAGGGGTATGCGTGCACTGAAGAATGTGGGATCAACCTGATCGCCATAGTTCAATGCGCATGTTCCCAGGCTGTAGTGTGGTCTCTCCGCTCTAGTGTGGTCTCTCTGCCCTAGGGTGGTCTCTCCGCTCTAGTGTGGTCTCTCCGCTCTAGTGTGGTCTCTCCGCTCTAGTGTGGTCTCTCTGCCCTAGTGTGGTCTCTCCGCTCTAGTGTGGTCTATCTGCCCTAGTGTGGTCTCTCCACTCTAGTGTGGTCTATCTGCACTGGTGGGCCTATTTGTTTACTGAACAAGGAGAATTTACTTAGTAATGTCCCTGCAGCAGTAGCATTTTCTACCCTTTCCCTACCATTAGCACACTTTCCCTATGGTACTTGCACACTTTCCCCATCCTGAGTAGCACACTTTCCCTATGGTACTTGCAGCGTAAATGGAGCACCTCCTACAGTGGTTATTAAGTGATAAACAAAAGAAAATAATATAAGACATTTTCAAATATAGCATAGCTCTAGCATTACTTCAATGATGTCTCACTTCCAGACCACCTTGTAGAAGTTTGTACAGCCTCTGCCATAGGGTAGCTCAGCCGACAATAACTCAGAGAGTACTCCTCCCGTCGAAAACAGTATCTTGCAAAGCATATGTTTCCATCTATGGCGTACTCCCATACAAGAAGTGTCAGAGTACAACTGGCTTATCAGCAACCTAAGACAATGGATGCACAAACACATGCACACCCACATGCACACCCACGCACAAACACGTACGTAAAACACACTTGCACACACTTTTAAAATTAATACACACACGTACAAACACACACACACATGTCCACAGACACACAGAAACACCCACCCACACGCACACACATACACACGCACACACATACACACGCACGCACAGCGGAGGTGATGATAGCAATGCTACGGCAGAAGCCATAGCAACTTGGGCTGGGATTGCACCATTCAACAGCTTGCAAGGCTGAAGAATTGACCGTCACTATACAGCCTGGTCTACACCATACAGCTATTTGAAGTGACTTTTTCTGGCCAGTGAATCCCTAATTTTGGTCTTTCCCCCCCCCCCCACACCTCAGACCTCAGACATACCCCCCCCCCCCCCAAACACACACCTCAGACCTCAGACATACCCCCCCCCCCCCACACACACACCTCAGACCTCAGACATGCCCCCCCCCCCCACACACACACCTCAGACCTCAGACATGCCCCCCCCCACACACACCTCAGACATGCCCCCCCCCCCCACACACACCTCAGACCTCAGACATGCCCCCTCCCTCCACACACACACCTCAGACCTCAGACATGCCCCCCACACACACACCTCAGACCTCAGACATGCCCCCCCCCCCACACACACCTCAGACCTCAGACATGCCCCCCCCCCCCCACACACACACCTCAGACATGCCCCCTCCCTCCACACACACACCTCAGACCTCAGACATGCCCCCCCCCCCCCACACACACACACCTCAGACCTCAGACATGCCCCCCCCCCCCACACATACACACATACACACACCCCTGTGCATATATGCATGCGCAAGAAAAAAACCCCGGTATCTTAGACCCCGGTATCTTAGACCCCGGCATCTTAGACCCCGGCATCTTAGACCCCGGTATCTTAGACCCCGGTATCTTAGACCCCGGTATCTTAGACCCCGGTATCTTAGACCCCGGTATCTTAGACCCCGGTATCTTAGACCCCGGTATCTTAGACCCCGGTATCTTAGACCCCGGTATCTTAGACCCCGGTATCTTAGACCCCGGTATCTTAGACCCCGGTATCTTAGACCCCGGTATCTTAGACCCCGGTGCGGCTAACAAACAGGAAAACACGGTATACATTCATGCCTAGTTTATCCAGGCGGCCTGGAACAGGGCACTGACCGTAACTTTGAAATTGAAATGTCCGTAAATCCGAATCACATACACTCTGATAGGGAAAGGCCATAGATATGGCATGTGACGTCACTATTTCCACCGTAAAGTACCGTTGATCCGCCCCCTCTCTAGTTGCCACCCCCTGTCGATTTTCTGCCTGTGAAGCGACTTCGGCGTATACAACGAAATACGATGTTGAACCGACGCATGAACTGCTGTGCACAATACGTGCCAGTGCAGGATGAAAATGTGCACAATTCAGCACATCGAGTCTGAACTTCCATGTTGTTGTACATCGTACTGCACTTGACAGCCTTGATCTAATTCCCGCCCCCTGCCGAAACATCTCACCAGATAAGACCACATTGTGGATGGCACATGCGAAACTTCCAACAACTTAACACTCGTGTGCAATTGCAACAGCGATACAACCTGAAATTCAATTCTGTCATCGCTGTCAGTCTGCTATTCTTTCCATGCACTCACCATCTCATAAATTTGAATGCCCCGTTCACTGTTTCCTGTAAAAGGTCAAAAACATCAACTATAAGAAGTCATGTCGCATCTTCGCTATCGGCAGCAAAAAAAGCAAGACATAAATGGAACATTTTAAATAGCGAGGAGGAAAGTGTGTAGAGGATAGCAACAACCTACTCCATCACAACTGTTAGACTACATCTCACTGAATGGCAACCACCTACCCAGCCAATTCAAAAATCTAGTTCAGCATCATACTATACTTCCACATCTTCCCGTATCCTTTTCTGAACATCAGCAGAGTTCTAGTCAAAAGGGGGTACGGTGGCGGAGCACCCCGTACTCTGATTGAGCGCCCTCCTGTAAACAAAGTGGTGCACCCCCCCCCCCTCTCACTTGTCGATTTTTGTGTTTTTCCAGGCTATTCAGCGAAAATACAGTCGACAGTCACTAACAGAGGATTCACAAAGGCACCCTTGTCTGGGGTGAAGTTGGGGTACGTTGCGTTTTGGGTGGCAAGAGAATTTTGGAAAGGGAAAATGGGTAACTGTTTCCCCTGCCCCCCCCCCTCCCTTCTGCTATTTTTACCTGGCTAGAGTCCTGACTAGTTGGAGACGAAGTTTCGAGGAGCAATCGCCCCGTGCGAGCACAGTCAACTAGGTTTGGCTAGATATATTTCGTAGATGCACCAACACGCTAAGTAGTATATAAATATTTGAAAGAAAGCAATTGCTACGGTGCAGCAGCAGACACAAGGAAAATATACTGTTGAAGATTCATTAAAATCCACCACGGAGACATCAATCTCAGGACTCGGACAAGGAGGCGTCGCACTCAAATCACAAATCCATTTCATGCACAAGTACTGTACGATGTTTGATGCAGCGCTGCACACCGGTTTATCGACAAAATCTAATTTTTCAGTTGTGGCTGCTTGGCCTGATATGAAGCTGCATAAAGTGTCAAACAAATTCTAATTATTTATTATTTATTTTTCAGTTGATGGTGTTGAAAAGGGAAAGGGTCTGAAGAAAATTTGATTGTCACCATCAGAACCAGGGTTGGAACCAGGGACCTTCGCTATAGGCCAACAATGCTCTACAGTCAGTTTCAAAAAGATTAGCAATCCTGGCGATCGCCTGGGGAGTTTGCCGTCTTACCGTATGCGCGCTCGAGAGCTGGCTGGAAAAACTCACTGTAAACTCGAAGAAATAATTCGCACGAAAGCATGAAAAATGACAACTCACTCACGTCGGTACATGTACGTCTGGTTTACAACAAACGAGTTCTTCCTCGTATCGATATGGAGTCAGAGAGGACATGTCGAAAGTGTGGTAAATGTTGACGAGCGGGATGGGTCCCAATTCGTTTCGTGCCCAATTTCTTCGAGCTGCGATGCAATTTACTCTCACGATGTGACGAAAACGACATCGACACAGACTCATTCCCAAGGCCATGACTTGGCAAAGCTATCCGTGTGACTTCGACGACATTTTGAGAAAAGCAGACGCCTGTGAAAGCTGATAGAAGACGGCATTTTTGTTTGTATATTTAGAGTCGAAGAACAAACAGGCAAATTTGCCTAATTACATGACATCGACTAAAAAGGAGAATAAATTATAAAAGGCCAATGAAGGTAATGATACTGAGTAGAGTGGGTAATGAAGTATTAAAAGCCAGTTAGGCCAGTAAAGGAAATGATAATACAGCGGGCAGTGGCATTACTGAAAAGCAGCATGTGCTGGGAGGGATCGCATGAATCGCTGGTACTGTGGGATTTTCCTGATGTCGGGCTGGAGCCTGTTCCACAGTGATACACATTGGAATGAGGCAGAATGTGTGCCAGCAGATGTCTTAGTGACTGGAAATTTAAGTGCTCGATTTCCCTGACTACGTGTGGCACGGCCGGCATTAAGAGGACTGAACATATCGGTAAGGCCAAAACAAATAATGACCTTGTTTCCGGTCGCCCGACCGGGCCACTTTTTCCCAAATTCTGAAACTTTTTTTGGTCCCAAATGTATGAAAACGGTGGCAATGCCATGTGTGCAAGTGCATTCAACGAGTCATAACTCAGTCAAATCTCAACCGAATTCCACAATCGAAACACCTACAAGGTACAGCAGCGATTCTCAGCTGTCGGCTCGAAAACCTCTGGGGTCGATACGAGCCAGAATAACGGCGCTGGAGGGACTCGAACTGTTTGCTTGATTTCTCTGGGTGTACGAAAACAGGAATACACCACATGCTGTGCAAGAACAGTGAGTCAGTCAACTTTGACATTGATCCTTGCCATGATATAATGTACAATGTACATGTGTAGGTGCTCTTGTCCATCAATACCACAACGATTGAGGAACCAAAAAATGTGCTTTATTTACCCTGAAGGCAGCGCAAGTGTAGCCAAGGAGCTTGTGGCAGTATATAACTTCTAGCGAGTGCAAGCGCAATTGGCAATACAGCGGCGCAGATGGGGATGCAAATGGAGCGTTGTAAACACAGCGGACTGCGCGCTTGAGTAGACGCTCTAGGCACTTGAGCTGATGTGAGGTGAGGCCAGTAGAGAAACAGTTGCTGGCATACAGGAAGTCAGGAAGGATCAGGGACTTCAGGTACGTGATGCGGCATGGGAGGGGCATGCAGCGCCTGTTTCTAAACAGGACAGCTATTTTACATACAGCTCGCTTGGCGATCTGGTTGACCATGGTGGTCCACTTGAGATCTTGGTCCATGTGGACACCAAGATACTTTGCGGATTCTACTTGTGCCAGTTGAACTCCAGAGCACATAACGCTGACATGAGGATTCACAGAACGATCGGCAGGGATGAACAAAATCTGGGTTTTACTCTCGTTTAGTACCAGGCTCCTGCTGGCAAGCCATCTGGCCAGGTGCGTAACTGCAGAAGACATACTGCGTTCCAGCTGATGTTTGTCCCTGCTACTAATATAGAGCATGATGTCATCTGCAAACTGAACTGTCCGCACACCATACGGTTGCACTTCAGCTGCCACACCACGGACATAGAGGAGAAACAGCAGAGGACCAAGTACGGAACCCTGGGGCACACCACTGCTGGGCTGAAATACCTTGCTGTGCTGGTTCCCAATGACAACTCTTTGCTGCCGGTCACTTAGGTAGTCTGCCAACCAATTCAGCGCACTTCCACCAACACCAATACTGAAGAGGTCGCGGATGAGGGTGCCATGTTGAACCTTGTCGAATGCCTTCGACATGTCAACAAAGGCAGCGCAAGTCTTTGGCATTGGCAAAAGCCTCCGATGCCATCACAACAGCATCCTCTGTTGAGTGCTGTTTCCGGAATCCGAACTGGCAATCTGGGTAGAGGCTGTGGGTGGTCAAGAATTCAGTGAGTTGTGAATGTACGATGCGCTCAAGGATCTTTGAGATAATCGGCAACAGAGAAACAGGTCTGAAATTGGTGGCCTTAGTACGGTCGCCGCTCTTGTACACAGGGGTGATATTTGCAAGTTTCATGGATAGTGGAAATCTCCCTTCGGAAAGTGACTTGTTGAAGATGAGAGTTACTGATGGAGCTAAGACTGAGGTCAGAGCATGCTGCTAGTACAAGAGCAGGTACGCCATCACTGCCCGTTGACTTTGTCGTATCTACACTGTTGAGCAACTTGCGTACACATGCGATGGATACTGGCTTGAAACAGCAGAGATCAGTACTTGCATGCGGACCAGAGGGGATGGACAGCACCTTTGGGCGAGTCGCATCGGTGACGATGTCCGCAAACACTTGTCTGATTTCATCCAGGGGGCATTGAGGAGCAGTGTGGGTCCGTGTTCTGTCTGATACGCATTGACTCTCAAAATCAAATAAATTGGCGATCTTGAAATACTAAAATAATTCTCAAAGAGAAATCGATCGATCGATGTGCTGTTGTATTCAACAACACGTAGCTACAGCGCAATGACTTCCGTGTTCACTCACACCGTTTCAGTGTTGTGGGTGTGTTCACATGGCGTGAACCAGTCAAGTGTCAGTAAGTTCGGCAGGAAATGCGAGCTCCAACAACAACAAGTCGTTTGGCGCAGCCACCTTCTTTGGCTTGTACTTTTTGTACCAGCGTGATCACCAAAACAATGAAAAAAAAGTTTGACTTGAAGATAGTTTGGGATTTGAACTCACAACTTCATGGTCAGCAGACAGCATTCATAACCACAAGGCCAGAAAGGAACAGATAAATCGTGGGTTTTGATTAAAAAAATCGATACTGACATCCAGGGCAAATTGTAAACCATGGGAAAAGGCCGGAAACCTGGCCGAAATTCTAACTCCTTAACGGCTGGTCCAATTGTTCCGAAACCTTCACAGAACAATTTGCCGTGTCCTAACAAGCTATTCTATGTACTTTGTTGTCCAAATTTCCCTTATCTTCATACTTTTTAAGACCAAAACCGGATTGATAATCTTTTTGAAATGGACTATAACCACCGAGCTATGGTGTAGCTGACATACCAGCAGAGACCTTTCAACATTTTCTTCAGACTTCAAAACTCATGCTTTCTGTGACACTACACAGGCTAATGTTAACGCACAAACTAGTACGCGGAGAGCCCCAAATTATCAAACATTTATCAATACTAAGTATTATCAGTTGGGCTTCATTGCTTCATTGCTTCATTGTTTATCATAAACAGTTACTTCTTAGTGGTGGAGCATCGCTGGACATAAGCGAGGGTCCCTGATTCGAGTCCTGGTGGAGACAGTCAATTTTATCTTCAGACTTTTCCCATTTTCAACTCCCTCAACCTTATGAATATCATACTGTAAAAGCCATTATTCTAACTCTGGCGGCGCATATATAACCATTTCCCAAAACTGACTAGTTTACGTGTACCAAAGGTGACGATTCTCACGCATTCTCAACGCTCAATAGAACAGTATAATTATGTATCGATTTCTGTATAACGATTTCTATTTTAACGACAGATTTCTCCTCGTTAACTCGTTAGAGTTAGCACTTCGTTATATGTATATACGGTATGACTTTTACAGTATTTCAGTAGTTACTTGAGTGTGCAGGGTTCAAGCCAGATCAAAATAGTGGGGTCGGGGGGGGGGGGGGGCAGGGGAAACAGTAACCCAGTAACCCATTTTGCAAATATTGTCGTGCCATGCCGAATGCAACGTACGGTGGCGAACTCTTCACCCCAGACAAATGTGCCTTTCTGAGCCCCCTCATGACTATCGACTGCATTTTCGTGGAATGACATGAAAAACACCAAAAAAATCGACAAAGGAGGGAGCGCCACTTTTTCACAGGGGGGGAGGGGGGGGGGGTGCGGGGGTCAATCAGAGTAGGAGGGCACTGCCCCCCCCCCCCCTTCTGTAAGTTCCAAACGCCAAACAGTAAACAACTTCTGGCAACAAAAACTCTCCCCTTCTCCCTTTTTCGTATGATATTATGCCCCCCTCCCCCCCCCCCCCCCTCCCATGCCACACCCTCTACATCATACACCCAACCTAAACACATCCGACAAACAAATGCACAATCACAACAGTTTGTTCAACTAGCAATTCAATGTCAGGTTTGAAACTATCTGTGCTCACCTGTGCATGAAATCCGTTCTGCTTTCCACGTTCGACAGTATTCCGCTTGCTGCGGTGAGTTTTCTATGGCAGCCCATCCGTGCGTGAAAATTTGTCCGATACGGAGAGGATTCCACTTTATGCAGGGACCGCTAAGCCCAAGTGGCATCGTACTTGGAAAGGAGTCAAGAGTTGGCCTGTACACCAATTATAAAAGCAGATACTGGACAAAAAGGAATGTTACAAAATCGCCACAAAGTAACAAAATCGCCACAAAGGGTATGGTGAGCACTGATGCGCACTCTACTCTAAGTAGAGAGGTTCCGCATAACGTAATTACGTTAGTAAAAAACGTAGTCGATCTACGGAAAGTCTTACGTAAACTGCATGCGCATCTGGGTTCCGCCATACGGAGTTTTCAAATCACGTAGCTGCCCTTGGCAACTCCGAACGCGGCAGTGTACGACCAGATCGACCTGGGGAGAGAGTCATAAATTTGTACCCCAATCCACTTACGGACCAGCTACGTTATCAGAGCCCTATCTACGTACTCTCCGTAGACAACTTTCCGTAAGCGGAGTGCAAACTCGCGAATTCACGGGTTTTTCCCGCCCACTAACGTAAAGTTGCTCAACTTTACGTAGTGCGGAACCTCTCTATTACCGTAATCTTGCGCCCGCCGTCTTATAGTGGAAAAATCGCTGTTCTCTGTCCTTTCACTAGTGCTTTTTCCTTCAAATAGAAGAACATGGTCAAATAGAAGAACATGGTCTTATATGCCAGAGACAAACATCGCATATAAGAACATGGTCTTATATGCGAGAGACAAACATGGCATCAACATGTATATGTGCAAAATTATACCTCACTCCGTATACACTTACCGTCTTAGGCATGCTCTCCCTTAGCGGTGTGTGTATCTCCATATACACCGCTAAGGGAAATTAGCAGTAGTTGTCGGCGAGGAACAAGCCATTAGGAGGTCACACACAGTGAATATGGAGAGGTATAAATATATCATAACAAAGGAACATCGTGTATACCGAGATATATACACCAGTTATAAAAACCTCGGCTTCGCCTGGATTTTCATATTGGTGTATATATCTGTAGATACACTCGGTCACTCGGTTCCTTGTTATCATATATACTAGTACATGTACGGCACACAGCGTGCATGCATGCTACACACATACATCACATGGTACATTGGTGTATATGTATGTCTAGATACACTCGGACACTCGGTTCCTTGTTATCATATATACTAGTACATGTACGGCACACAGCATGCATGCATGCTACACACATACATCACATGCTAGCATGTGCAGCGGGACGGACATCGATGTACAGTGTACGCATCTGATTTTCATTCACAGAGGTGGTCTAATATTCGAATATGACACCATGGTCTTATATGCGCTAGATTACGGTATGTGGATTTTGGATAACCAGATTGCCACCAGGCTGGCACAAATGAGTTTGTGTACACTAAGGTAAGTTTTTTTTCTCGCTCTGTTGCTGCCCCCTCCCCTCTCTCTCTCTCTCTGTCTGCCTGTCTCTGGCTCTCTGTAGATGAGGAAGGTGGAGACGAGAGCACCGTATTTTACCCGTGATAAATCTATCCCACTACGTGGGGTCTCGATTCACCGGTTCAATATCAATATGATCAAAAGCTGATTACCAGTAACTCAGCAAGTCGACAATCTTCTTTTAAATTTGCTTTCTGCAGGTCATACTAAAAGGTCGACTTCTAACCAGGAAAATACGGTAGTTGTGAAATGGAGTATGATGTCGAGAAGGAGAAGAAGAAAGATGGAGATGAGTGGCAGAAATGTAGCTATGCCCCCCCCCCCCCCCACAAAAAAACGACTTTGGGGACAGAAACCGAGCGCTGGTGCAACATACATGATAGAACTAAGAACGCATCATCACTATGCAAGCATAATTGCTGCATTGCCTCATCCGAATCACACTATCACCATCCCATTCCATGCCTACAACCTGGAAGGCAATACCCATCATCAATGTCAATGAATTGCATCCGTAACAAAATAGCTAAGCTTCAAGCAGCCCAACAGGAAGGAGTGAGGACTCGTATTTTCTGAACCATACACTACAAGATAGTGGACTGTCTCCGTTACCACCTGCGACATTAAAAAAAGAGTAAATTATCGTGTCCGTTCCCCGAAGGGAACTGGGACATGCTGTCCAAAAGCTATTGCACGTTTACTTGAAATAGGCATATTAGAATAAGGGACATGCTGTCCAAAAATGATTGCACGTTTACTTGAAATAGGCATATTAGAATATTAGAATATTTTCACACTTTACCACATACAACTTGTACTAACAAGAAAGACAAATTTCCTATCCATTGACGACGGACAGTGCTTTCTTAAGCTCCGATAACAGGCATCACGCTAGAGACATGTATGCCAAACACTGCAGCATGGTCACCTCTACGCAGTCTAACAAAACATGTGCACAGACAGTCCTTGTCACTCCAAACAGCAAGGATATCCTCTCTGGGGGCGACATATCCTGACAGTATGACCGAAGTCAAGCGTGACACTGTTGCGTCATGAGAGCGGTGCTGCAGGGCCTGCACTGACCATGTGTCATAGTAGAATAGCGAGTTTGACTGATCTTCCCAGATCAATGAGATCACACTAATCGGGATTTGTTCAATACCTTTTGGACCCCAGCAAAGCATTGCTGCTGGTGAAATTCGAGTCACTTCGGAGAGGATGTATTGTATTTTGAGTGACACAGGATGTTTTTGCAGATGTCTTGTTAGACTGCATAGAGGTGACCAGGCTGCAAGGTTTGGCATACAGGCGTCTGGTCTGGTGCCTGTTGTTGGAGCTTGAGGAAGTTCTTTCCGTCATCGGGTATACCCATGTATTGGACGGTGATAGAGATGTTCACTACTGGAAGTGAACCAATATCGCCAAAGTCGCACCAACCTCTTCTTCACATTGTTGTCCCCAGCGCGGGCTTGCGAATTAGATGGTTTGGAGGCAACAACGTTGTGAATGGCCAACGGTCCTCAGCGTTTGTTCAGCACCTCCATGAGCGACACTGACTCACGCTGCTATCTGGTGTTCACGAGGTGTTTGTCGCGCTGGAAACGGAGCGTCTCCGTAAGTTTGTATCCCTGGTGATGTTTGTGCCTGGACAGCACTGTATAAGTGGTGCTCTTCAGGCACAATCTTCCTCAGCCTACTCAAGCTCAACTGATGAGGCGTGAATTCACCGAAACACTGTGTATTGACCAGGGAGTGGTGCTTTCTTGCAGGGTTGCCGAGTGGACGGTTCGATGGACTTCTCGTGTTCTCTGGATGGCAGTCGTGAGTCAGTCAAGTGAGAATTCAAGTCGGCAGGAAAACCGCGAGCTCCCATGTAGGGAGCAATACACCCTTCCCCTGATCATATTTGCCTGAAAATTTGTTGCAGCCGAAATTTTGTTCTGCAAAGTTTAGTGTGACAGTGTATACAGGCAGCAGCAGAACAGGCCGAAAATTTGTTGCAGCCAAAATGTGCCCTGGGAGACCGAAATTTGAATGTGCCAAAATGTGTTTTAGCCCTGGGAGGCCGAAATTTGAATGTGCCGAAATGTGTTTTAGCCCTGGGAGGCCGAAATTTGAATGTGCCGAAATGTGTTTTAGCCCTGGGAGGCCGAAATTTGAATGTGCCAAAATGTGTTTTAGACCTGGGAGGCCGAAATTTGAATGTGCCGAAATGTGTTTTAGCCCTGGGCGGCCGAAATTTGAATGTGCCGAAATGTGTTTTAGCCCTGGGAGGCCAAAATTTGAATGTGCCGAAATGTGTTTTAGCCCTGGGAGGCCGAAATTTGAATGTGCCGAAATGTGTTTAAGCCCTGGGAGGCTGAAATTTGAATGTGCCGAAATGTGTTTTAGCCCTGGGAGACCGAAATTTGAATGTGCCAAAATGTGTTTTAGCCCTGGGAGGCCAAAATTTGAATGTGCCGAAATGTGTTTTAGCCCTGGGAGGCCGAAATTTGAATGTGCCGAAATGTGTTTAAGCCCTGGGAGGCTGAAATTTGAATGTGCCGAAATGTGTTTTAGCCCTGGGAGACCGAAATTTGAATGTGCCAAAATGTGTTTTAGCCCTGGGAGGCCAAAATTTGAATGTGCCGAAATGTGTTTTAGCCCTGGGAGGCCGAAATTTGAATGTGCCGAAATGTGTTTTATTCCTGGGAGGCCGAAATTTGAATGTGCCGAAATGTGTTTTAGCCCTGGGAGGCCGAAATTTGAATGTGCCGAAATGTGTTTTAGTCCTGGGAGGCCGAAATTTGAATGTGCCGAAATGTGTTTTAGCCCTGGGAGGCCGAAATTTGAATGTGCCGAAATGTGTTTTAGCCCTGGGAGGCCAAAATTTGAATGTGCCGAAATGTGTTTTAGCCCTGGGAGGCCGAAATTTGAATGTGCCGAAATGTGTTTAAGCCCTGGGAGGCTGAAATTTGAATGTGCCGAAATGTGTTTTAGCCCTGGGAGGCCGAAATTTGAATGTGCCGAAATGTGTTTTATTCCTGGGAGGCCGAAATTTGAATGTGCCGAAATGTGTTTTAGCCCTGGGAGGCCGAAATTTGAATGTGCCGAAATGTGTTTTAGTCCTGGGAGGCCGAAATTTGAATGTGCCGAAATGTGTTTTAGCCCTGGGAGGCCGAAATTTGAATGTGCCGAAATGTGTTTTAGTCCTGGGAGGCCGAAATTTGAATGTGCCGAAATGTGTTTTAGCCCTGGGAGGCCGACATTTGAATGTGCCGAAATGTGTTTTAGCCCTGGGAGGCCGAAATTTGAATGTGCCGAAATGTGTTTTAGCCCTGGGAGGCCGAAATTTGAATGTGCCGAAATGTGTTTTAGCCCTGGGAGGCCGAAATTTGAATGTGCCGAAATGTGTTTTAGTCCTGGGAGGCCGAAATTTGAATGTGCCTGATACCTCATTACCCTGACACCAAAGTCACTCAGTGCATGGTTGAGATAATATGAGGTGTCCACTGATACCTCATTACCCTGACACCAAAGTCACTCAGTGCATGGTTGAGATAATATGAGGTGTCCACTGATACCTCATTACCCTGACACCAAAGTCACTCAGTGCATGGTTGAGATAATATGAGGTGTCCACTGATACCTCATTACCCTGACACCAAAGTCACTCAGTGCATGGTTGAGATAATATGAGGTGTACACT